TTCAGTTCAGGATACAAGTCCGAGGACAGATCCTCAGCTGGTATAAATTGCTATGACAAGTTACACCATCTGAAAACCGCCCCCCCACCCCCACCCCAACTCTACCATTCTGAACCATCTCTAATAGACACACTACCCACAATTTTACGTTTATAAACTGAAAACCAAGGCAATCTTGCCCACTAGAAAAGTAATTGCTGGGCCAGCCTTTCACTCCATACTCTCTTCCAAGTTTCCCGTTGTGGAGAGGGTTTTTCCTACCAGTTTTTTTTTCCCATTGGAAGGCAGAGAATTCCTCTACATATCTTCAACTTTCTGTCCCAGCAGCTCCCCAGAACTTACGCTGTTTTATTTCCCACCTACCGGGGCAGATTCTGATCCTTGTACATATCTGAAGAGCACTTTAACTACACAAATGATTCCACTGAAGCAAATGCAGTTAGTTGTAGAGTGAAGTGCTGCCCAAATTGAATCAGCAGCTGGGCTACAATGATGTTGTGTCTTTTGCCCTTTACATAACCAACAGGAAATGAAGAAACCACATGGGCACAGCCTATTCACTGAATACACACAACATGCAAGGCCTAGATACATGTACACGTTGCACTTCTGGTTGGGTTCTGGCGGCTTCTAAAACACAGAACAGGGAGCACTATTAGATGGCTCATGTACTATTTAAAGGGATACTGTCCTATTTCTATATACCGCAAATGACAATGAAATATGGATGTGGATTCAATAACAATTTCATATTGGCCTCCACTGGCCATTCACGTTGTCCTGACCTTGCTATCCAAAAAAGTCTGCTTTGCTTGTGCTCAGTTGTTACTTTCTAAGCCTGCAGCCTTTATATGTATGTAAATCCCAGTTAAGTCAATGGGAGTTGTGTGAGTGGTGAGCAAGGAGTACAGTGACTGGCTTTTAAATTCATTACCATAGTCAATTGAACGTGCTAGGGAAACCTCAAAAGGTTCAGGGTTCAGGTTCTAGTCAGAAAAAGCACCCCAAAGGTCAGGAGACTTACCTGAACCTCACTGCAAAACAAGGCTACAAATCTCAAGAGAACAGATTATGTTGTGAGATTTCCATTGCTGTGCCAGTAGCCTTTTTATTTATATTGGAATTGGAAAAGGTTCAGGAAAGGGCAACAAAAATGATTAGAGGCATGGAACAGCTTCCATATGAGGAGAGATTTAATAAGATTGGGACTTTTCCAGCTTGGAAAAGAGACGACTACAGGGGGATATGATTGAGGTCTATAAAATCATGACTGATGTGGAAAAAGTAAATAAGGAAGTGTTATTTACTCCTTCTCATAACACAAGAACTAGGGGTCACCAAATGAAATTAATAGGCAGTGGGTTTAAAACAAACAAAAGGAAGTATTTCTTCACACAGTGCACAGTCAACCTGTTGAACTCTCTGCTAGAGGGTGTTGTGAAGGCCAAGACTATAACAGGGTTCAAAAAAGAACTAGATAAATTCATGGAGGATAGGTCCACCAATGGCTATTAGCCAAGATGGGCAGGGATGGTGTCCCTAGCCTCTGTCTGCCAGAGGCTGAGAACGGGCGGTAGGGGATAGATCACTTGGTGATTGTCTGTTCTGTTCATTCCCTCTGGGGCACCTGGCATTGGCCACTGTCGGAAGACAGGAAACTGGGCTGGATGGACCTTGGTCTGACCCAATATGGCCATTCTTATGGTCTTTTTAATGGGATTTTAGCTCAGATTCTGGTCTCACATAGGACCCCGATGATCCATTCTCCCTTCTGGATACAAAGTAACTCCCACTGAAGTAACTGAGAGTTACTCAATAACACCAGGAAGATTACATTCATTGCTATTTAGACAACCAGTACAAGGCCTGGGTACCACTTTAGTCCCTCTTAAGCTTGGTTTTGGGGAGTTAAGAGGTGCCTAGGTCTTTCCTCTGTACAGGGGCAAATTCCACTCAGTAAGAGTAGTGCTCGAGGAATAGAGAGACCAATACAACCATTTATTGTATAAAAAGTTTATTGAACATTGCAAAAAAACCACAAAAAATATGGAGATAATATTCTATCCTCAAATTAAATACAGCTTAAAGCACTTAGAGGGAGGTTTTTTCTAATTACATCCAAACCAGTTCTCCCATTCCCAGGGTCATGACAGCTCTGCATTCATTCTCCATTAACTGCTCTGTGCTGAAGCAAAACACATTTATGCAGCCAAATCCTGTTGTCCTTATGCTGGCTAACCTCCCATTTACTCTCTTAGGATCGGATTTTCAAAACTGCTTAGCACTGGCCTCACTCTGCTTCCATCAAAACTCAGTGGTCAAGTTTCCATTGACATCTATGAGAGCAGAGCCAGGCCAATGCAGAGCACTTGTAAAAATCCCAACCTTCTTATTTTAGATTGGAAATACATTTTACTATCTAAAGAAAACATTCAACAGTTTATTCCTGGACCCCAGAAGGTCAAATTCTGATCTCATTTTAGTGGGTGTGAATTCGGAGTATCCACCCAAGTCAAAGATTTATACCCTGTAAATGAGAGCAGAATTGAGACCATTGTACCTGGCCCATAAGCATCTGTCATTACAAGTGGTAAATAGGAGTTGTGCATGGGTAAAGACCTGAAAGACATGGTCCATGGTCTTGAACTGAAAAGAAATTAACTGGGCCTGATACTGATACCACTCTTACTTGTTTTACACAGGTAAAACTCCACTGAGTTCAATAGAACGACTCGTTATTCACTCTAGAGTGAGTCAGAATCAGAATTAAGCCTATCGTATCTGAAAGAGCCAGTGTGCAGAATTTTTAACATATTTGAATCCTGTTCTACAGTTGTATTTTTCCCCATAGTAAGAATCATTAGAGGTTATCAATTCAAATCCCATTAAAGAAGATTTTCCAAAAATAATAGTCCAGATTTACAGGGCAGACATGACAATCTCCTGGCAAAGAAGACACTAAACTTTATCACTGATCAGTACTCCTTGCCCATGACCACTGGCCTACAATTGCAAATATAAGGCAGATGTGGAATAGAATTTAAACATTGTGCTTTCAGGGTGGCCTCAACTGCATTCAGACTTTGGCGGAAAACAAGGCCAGAGTTCTTTCAACGTTGCTTCAAAAGTTTCATTTATAGAGAAATTTCAAACAGACGCATGCTTGACCTAAACCTCGGTAATACAAGACAATGCATGTGTCTAAAAAAAACTTATTGCACAGAGCAAGTCAAGGTGTTTGCAGGATGTATTAACATAATTTGATCATCGGACCATTAACACACACTAGAATCGGTAACTTCTAAAATTCTCTATTAAAAAGGGAAGGAGTTGGTTTGAAATATTTGTCCCCATTTATTTCAAAATAATTCACAAGAAACATTTATCATTTGGGAGAGCCAAACAACGGGGTCTTCTCAAATATAACCAAAACAGGTTATGAACATTCAGTTAAAGGATATTTCTCTCCAAAACCCCACTCAGACTTAAACTACATTTACAACTGAGAAAGCACTCTGCCCACTATTATTAGACATGATAAAATAGTGCTAGATATTCGCAACCACTTTGATATTCAGAGTTCAAGGAATAAACATCTAAATTATCTGAAATGTTTTCTCTCGATAATTATAGATATCAAAATAGTTTTGTCAATGTAATGTAATGTAATGATAGATGCTTTTAAAAATTAAATTCCACACCGGGCAAATTTAATTTACACTGAGGTTGCAAACTATAAAAGGGGATTGGTAAAATATTGATATTTAGTAGAGCAATTTAGGGCTCTAGCCCAAATTTCACTTGCTTCTCTTCTTCTTGATCAGATTTGCCTAGCTTTAACAAAAATGCATAGCTTGGATACTTAAATGCATTTGTATTCTTACTGGAAGCCACATTTTATAAATATAATTTGTTTTTAATACCAGGACATAGTTAAACAAAAAACTTTTGAGGCCATCACTTTGTAACCTCCCTGAAGTAGGGGTACCGGAAAAGCTGGCCTGTTCATAGAAAACAATCAGACAGATATATAAATGCCAACTACATATCTGAGAACAATTTTTGTTGTGGGAGGAAAAAATTACGACACAATTTTACTTTTAGATGAACTGACAACCCCGCGTCTTTCTTGTGACTAGAACAAGGAAGTTGTTCCCCTCTTTGTTTTCCAGTGCAAGATTCAATGTTCTAAAACAAAAACCTTGTTCTCTGTTGAACCATTTTCAAAAGAAGCCAAGTTGCAATCATCATATATTGCTTTTATACGTAAAATATAGATAGATGGATGGACCACAGCTAAGAAATGCCTTCAGTCATGCTTTTTCTCCCCCTTAAGATTGAAAAGCTTCAGTATCCAAATAGCAACAGGAAATTTTTACCTTGTGGCTAAATAACTCACTGTTCACTTTGCAGCTGCTTCTACTTTTTGGCTGGCCAAAACACCAATACAAAAGTCTTTCCTAAGAAACCAACCTTCTGACAGATGGACAGCGACAAACACAAACCTACAAAGAATTCTCCCCACCCCACCCCATCCCATCGTTATAATTCCTAATTTTGTGGAATCTATTGCTGGGCTGTTTATCATAACAGTGTGCAATAAAAAAGGACGACTAACTCTTGCAATTTTCTCCCTACTCCTCCCCTTGACAGGGGCCACCGATAGGGAAAGAGGCTTGGAAAAGCAGAGCAGTGAAAGGCTAAGAAACAATAAGCAACCATGGCTTTGACAATGCAGCCCTGAACCCTTTTTGCTCCCGCTGTGACACTTGCATTCAAGAGCAAGGGCGGCTGCCATCATAAGAATGGACAATGGCATGAGGAATACAAGGGGGGGGGGGAAGGAAATCAGATGAATTCAGAGCTAAGATGGCAGAGCTCTCACCTTTTCCGCTTTTTTCGAGTAATCTGGAGGAGACGTCCCGCAGAGAAGAGATAAAAAGGGTGTTCTGAACTGTTGGAAGGTTCTGAAGACTTCTGCATTTGCAAACGCATTTTAGAACTATTTGTAGGGGTATATATGCTGCATGCCATCTCTCTGTCTCTGTCTCTCTCTCTCTCCCTCTCTCTCTTCTGTTTTATGTCCTGCTATCTCCATCCCACACCTCTATTAGTATGAAGACTTTCTGCCCATGTAAGTAAGTGAGAGTGTGTGTTCCTTAATGTTTGAATCAAGACACACGTCTGCATGCATTTCTAATCTAAGGAGCCTATAGCAGTTACTACAACTATCAATTAGTCAGCAATAGCTTGAGATCCCCATGTGTCTGAGTGAACAAAGGTGGGAAACACATGCAAATAATAATACAGCACCTGGGTCACGTACAGTAACTTAGCTAGCAACAAATAATTGCATCTGTTTCTGCCTTTTCAATGTTTAGTGCTCATTGTTATGTAAAGTTACAGGTTATTAACGTGAATACTAACATAATTAGATGTGGCATTGTATATTTTCCTTTGGACAACACAATAAAAAGAAATTGAACTAAACAAATAAATAAATGGCGATTTAAAGGTTTTAACAAAAGAGATTCTCTGATCCGTAGCTGTGCATCCTTTTTTTTTTTTAAATTCAACTCTTCTGGAGTTAAGGATGCATTTTACGAATATGTATTTGATAATTTAATATATAAATATGTATGAAATTTTATGTCTTCAGAAGAGACTAAAAGAGGGTTGATTGTATTGAAGTTAAGCCCAGAAAATGAGCAAATTATACCCTTTTAAAAACCGAAACTGTTAATTTTTTAAAAACAACTGTTATTTTTAAAGACATGTTAAGGGTGTTTCCTGCACATTTTTAGATATTAGCCTAACAATTACAAAGAAAAATACAGAACCTCTTATCCTCATTTGTTTTTAAGCTCGACAAATGAATTTCATCTTAGGAAAACCAGCAAAATGCTACTTAGTCAAGAAGGACAAAAATAAAAAAACACCACCTTCCCAAATCAAAAACTCCACCACCACCCTGACTCCACAATAAGAGGTAAGGATGAGAAAGATCCGGTTTACTGTCTGTTAGGCATAGAATATTTCAAAGGTGCGACTATAACCTGTGGGCAATTTTATGTCCAGAGATTTCATAAGAACAACTCTAGTGTCAATTGAAATTTAATTTGAAGGAATATTTTGAAATATGTCACAGATTAAAAATTAAATCATTTGATGGAATTAGTTTGTTACTTATAAGTAGCATTTTTTTCTCGTGGATATTGTGCCCACAAAGTCCCACATGGAGACATATGTTGCCTAACTATCTCGTTAGCTCTATTGCTACTTATATCACAATCCTTGGAAGGCTTGTTAGGGACACCAGACCATTTTTTTCCTCCCAGTGACCCTCAAAATCATCATCTTTATTCAGCCTGAGAAGGCTTAAAAACAAACCCTCTTTAAAAAACAAAGCAGCAAAAATACATCCCCAAAGAGAAATTCCCCAATAAGAAAATGGTAATGGCTAGAAGAGTAGTGAATAACTAGTCGCTGGTAACCACACAATGAAACAAGGTTGTTTCATTGAGAAAGGTGTTCTCAATGAAACAAGATTAAAGGTAAACTGCAGTAAAACAATTTCCTGACCAAATAAAGCCCTGAGTGCAAGAATCCCAGAGCAGATTGTACAGCACGAAGTAAAGGAATAACAGGCTTTTTTTATTTTAAATGGTGCTGACCCGCCATGCACTTCATTTCAAAACTTAGCTGTTGGGAATTGCAGGTGCTATGGTGACAGCAGATTTCCAATATGCCAAGAGCAGGGTTTATCCTAGTCTCTTTGCTCTCTGAAAGAGACACACCACAGGATTAGTATAATAAGTTGAGCACTAGCCAGGATCTGCAGTCCCACTAAAACAACCGTGCTCTCAGCCCCTCTGCCAAAGGTCCTATCAGAGAGACAGACACAAGCATAACAGATTCTACAAAATAATCTCACCCTTCACTGAAGAATGAGACCTTAATATACATACGTGAGGGTGTTATATGCAGAACAGGGATGGGGACAGGACAACCATTCCTACCAACTCATTTGATTTCATTGTATGTGAATAGACTATTTCCTACTTTAATATGAATTACTAATCTTCCTTATTGGACCAATTTGTTGCCTGCAATATATATTTCAAGTTAAAGGAATCTTTATTTAAGAGTTTGTAACACAAAATAATCACACTCAATGTGTTGTCTCATTTGAGGGGGGCAAACAGAACAGTAGAAGATCTGAATCCCTGTAGAGGATGTATTATAACTGCTTAGGCAAGTAGGTAGGCTGAGACAGATAAATAGATCATTTTCATTACTGTGTTTTATGTCTAATTCTTCTGTTTCCTAGCCCATTTTGTATTGAGCTTACAGCCTGGTTTCTAATACCTTCGGTCCTTAAAACATACCACATGCTGATAAAATGAGTCATTTTCTTAAAAAATAATTAGAGGAATAATCTAAACCAATGTTTTTTCTTCATCTAATATGTCTAATTTAGCTCCCTCCCTAGGCATTTCTATATTTACAATTTATAATGTTATTTCACTATTTTCTTCTCAACTAAGACTACAGGTTGGGTGGCTATTTTGCATTAAAAACGCTTAACCAGTAACATCAATTACAAGTAAGGGATGGACTGTACCTTCATGCTGGATTTTTATTGTTCCATTTGGTGATATTGTAGGCATTTCCCAGCAGCGTGGCACAAATATTTAACAGACAAAAGAGCAACAGAAATTTAGGCAATAGAACTCTCCAGGATCATCAGCTAAGAACAAAATCACAAGACAGTTGACAAGATTTGCCTTCAGAAACAAATTGGGTATAATCTGAAATTTTGACAGCACAAGCAATATTGTATATTTTCCTGCTTTCCCAAATTCTAAACAATTTCTTTAAAACTAATTATTTAAATATTGCCTGCTGCTTTTTTGCCCTAATAAAAATAACTCTCAACTGAATTTTATAGGACAACTGGGGTCCACAGATTAATGGGCAAATCGGTATGGTAGGTAAATGACAGTAGTCAAACAAACCAACAAACAAACTCTTCCAAACTACCAAACCTCTTTGGCTGTAATAAAAATGTTGACAATAGTTACATGATTAAAGCAATTGTTTTTCATCGGTGGCCTTAACATTGAACTAATTCAAAATTGAGTGAGCAAAGTTAACCCCTTGGGATTCGCAGAGGAGATTTAATTTATAGAAATAGGTTTTTTTACAAATATAGCTATTTTCAACGTTGTACGATAAAGCCTTTCCACCCCCCTCATTTTATTTTAAGACTAGACCCCGTTTAGGATTTCACATTGTAAATCTCCCTATGTCTGAATGCTGTTACAAGGTTTGACAATGAAAGAATAATTCATGTCAGACAAAAAGAGCCCTTCAATCAGCTTCATGCAGCTTTTCTCCTGCAGGGCTACGCCAAAATGAATGTGGAATCCTGAGCCGAACCATCCATCACATTTCCCGAGTCTTTCAATTAATGACACTGCAATCAGATCGATGGCGTGTAATAAGAAAAGAGCTTTGCATTTCTATACCTATTAATTCGCTGAGTAACTCCAGAGGTAAAACGTGACCAGAAAGGGAAAGGGGAAGAAAAAATTCATCGTCCGAGCAAGATTTTTAGGGAGGTTTGGGCCAGTTTACACAAGTCTCCCCCTTTCCTCCCCCACCTCCCAAACAACCTGAAAAGTCAAAAGAAAAATCAACTATGCTTTTCCTAAATTGGGATTATCTCCCTTTTAGACAGGTATTTTCCTTCTTGTGTTGCTAAGCTTGTGAAGCGCTAAGAGTTTATTAGGTATACACTCTAGATTACAAGGGGAGTCCATTTTTCTTCCAGACGCAGACTGGTCAACCCCCATTAGACTCATAGTTAGCCAGAAACATCCTGCAATTCAAATCATGGACCAGTGCAGTCACTCACAGGGCAGGACTCTGCAGATGCCGTCCTTGGTGCTAAGGCAGTAATTAGCAACCAAATTTCCAGATCACAGAATGCGCCAGGGACAATCACCTCATGCAGTGATTAACCTCCAGGGAAAAGGGGCGGGAGGAACCCACCAACAACTGTGGGACGGAATTAAAATGACCTTACATCATTGAACTGGCATAAGACTTTGGTTCGATGACAAAGATTATCAAGGCTTTGCAATACAGAACCTGACAAACACGTTGCAGTCCCCCTGTATCACAGAGCTGACGCCATACACACAGCCAATCACTCATGTCACAAGGTTGTTTTGATCACTTTCTGGCTAACATGAGACTTTGTATCAACAGCAACTCCAGCTCCTTTTTTGGTGTGTACTGGGGGAGGGCAGTTTTCTTTAAATCTAGGGCGGCTCACAAGGGAGTATTTCTGACAATATCCAAGATTCCCGCGACGAAAGGTACGACTGGAGATTTACAACTCTGTTGAGTACCCTAGACTGTCCAGTTGCAAGGCACAGTGTGTACTCCAGTGTTCAGTAATGTACAAATGTCTTGTCTGTTAGCAGGTCAGGGAGAGGAGAGAAAGCGGTACCGCCTCGAGCCCTGGTTTGAACATTGGCTGCCATCCAGGAACTAACAGAGCCTTGGAAGGAAGGAATGGATAGGCTTGCTTACATCTGTTTCCTTCTGCCATAGCTGCAGACAGACTTCGAGAAATACAATAACCGTGCCTTTTCAAAATAAGTTTAGACAAACTTTAAGCAGGAATTTTCAGGGGCTTCTCCTCAACACTCTCGAAAGAGCTTATGGTGCTACGCCTGCAGATGAATTGCATAAAGAGGATGCTTCCATAATTGTCTGTCTCACACAATAGCGTAGGTGAAGGCAGCGTCTGGCCTTGTGGAAATTGATCACTCTGCGAAAGCTGTTGAGCCTCTGGTAGCCACTGTCAACAGAAAAACCCAAGTGCCTGTCTGGTTGTGGTATAGAGAGGCATACAGTAAAACCACCCGAGCTGTTAATACATGTGACCAACCCTACGCTTTGGAAAGGAATAATTACAAATCATGGTCATCACAACACTTTCCCCCTATGTATGTCCCCCTCTGTGCCTGATCAACAGAGGACTGGAGTTTGCTAGAGGATCTAGCTCATGTTCTTAGCTAGGAAGAGCCTGGGTTAAACTTTACCAACAATCACAATGTTTATATAATGTCATTATTTCATTTATTTATAAACAATAACTAAAAAGATGCCCATGCAAAGCTCTAGACACCCAAGAACACAATACAACGTAATATAATTAAATCTCAGCAGCATTCAAATGGTCAATTCAAATGGGATGCAGCCAGCCAGACACCTACATAATCTCCTTTCTGCCCCTTTATTGTCTAGGAAGCATACCCAGAGCCATCTCCAAGAACCCTATCGAACTGTAGCATTACAATGGCACTTTTCAGCTGAGGTAAATGTAAATAAAGCTTTAGTCCCATTTTACAAATAATTAACCTGCAGAACTCACTGCAGCAAAATATTATTGAGACAAAGCTCTTAGAAGCATTCAAAGTTTAGATATTTATTTCAGTAATAAGAATATCATAGGCAGTTACAGTAACACGGAGAAATGTTTATAAAGGACCTCAGTCCTCATGCTTCGGGACACGAGCCCACTACTAACAGCTAGGAAGAAATGCCCCCCTACCAATATGATTTACATAACTGTCCGTTTGAAGGATTTTAAATCTTCTTCTGAAACTTAAATTCTTTGCTACTGTGAGGGCAGGACTAGACAAACTATTGGTCTAATCTGGCATGGCAATTTCGATATTTCTAATGGAACTGAAGCAGAGCTGTGCTCCGAAGCACTTTGAAGTTCTCACTGTGTACTTCTCTCGCTTTTACTTATGACCCCCCCTGGGTCAGAGTTGGGCTCATAAAACAACCCTTTAATCTTCTCGAGCCTCCAAGCAAAAGATAGAAAAGAAAAGATCATACGCACAAGCCTGAGAGAATCTTTGCTGTTGCCATTGTTTCCGAGAGGGTCGTGTGAAGGCTACATTTATGTGAGAATCAGACTGAAATAAACAAACCTTGAAGCAAAAAAGGCATTTGGCTCTTACACAGCACTTTTAATCCATTGGCCTCAAACCACTTTATAAATCAAGGGGAGTATCTTCAGCCCCATTTTACAGATGAGGAAATTGAGGTGAAGTGACTTGCATAAGGTCAATGGAAATAAAACCAAGGATGCCTAAATCCAATCCACTAAACTATCTGCCTGTCTTGGCTATTAATATGACCCCATTACTGTACTATCTGAGCACCTCACAATCTTTAATGCATTTATCCTCACAACACCCTTGTAAGGTAGGTCAATGCTATTATCCACAGGGTTTCTGGAGGGTCCCAGGCTAGCACCCTAACTGTGGGACCATCCTCTCAGGTCAACAGCAGAGCCAAGTAGGGTGACCAGATGTCCCGATTTTATAGGGACAGTCCCGATTTTGGGGTCTTTTTCTTATATAGGCTCCTATTACCCCCCCATCCCCTGTCCTGATTTTTCACACTTGCTGTCTGGTCACCCTAGAGCCAAGAATAGAACCAAGTAATCCTGAATCTCGCTCCACTAGACCACACTGTATCAGTTTCATCTCCGACCACTGTAGGTGGGGCCATTTTTCGGGACAGGTGGACTTAGCTACTTAGTGGAGCCCAACATTCATTCCATGAGATATGTATACACTTAAAACTTGTTTTTCAGAGGTGCGGTCTACCTGCCTTTGCTACTGACTTCTAGTGTGGTTATTGGTGCTCAACACTTGATGAAATCAGACCCTGAAGATTTAAAGTTGGATCCTTGAATGGCCTGGACACAACAACTCTAACAGATGAACAAAAAGGAAAGTCAGTAGGGGCTATGCTAATCTCAACAATATAGATGCACCTTTTAAAATAGGTAAGTAGCCTGTGACTACCTGTAAATTACTGCTCTGCTAGAGAACCATGTGCAGTCATGGCTGCCCATGTTAGTAAGTGTCCTACATCTGCAGAAAAGGGAAGAAACATTATTGTAGCCAGTGAGTCTCAAAAGGCCAAGGGAAATGAATAGTAGTGTGGACCTTGGAAGTATTTGGTAGTTCCAAACTTGGCAGAGAGAATGGGGATTAGCCAGTACCTACATATCATCTAATATCTTTCCGGTTCACCTTAATACTCAAAGCAATCCAATGGCAATGAAAACGCTTTTTTGTGAGGACCCTAGTATCATTCTTGGAAAGACTATCTGGCCTTACTGAAATAGGGAGATTTGCCCCTGAGTCAACAATGGTAATAGATAGTTTAATAATCACTAGATCAAACCTAAGCAAACATCTTAACCTGGCCTTTCAGCATCAGTGTGAAAAGCAAAGGAAACATTACCGCCAATAACTACGCCATAGAGTAGAGTCTAGGTTGCTATATGCAACAGCGCCCCATGAAGGGGCAATGGGATATCCAGATTATGGTCATCACAAAATAGATTACAGCTATCAACCAGCTCCGTCTAGAAATATAAGCCATCCTCCTCCTCTTGTTCCCCAGGTCACCTTTTCACTGTTTACCTAACTGGAGAGTTCCATGGCTGCCATCAAGGTAGCATCCAATTATTTATGGGTGCATCGTCACAACAGTTGCAGGGAAGCATTGTTTGAAGAATCATTTTACAGATGGGGAACTGGAGCACGGAAAGTGATTAGAAGGCCCACATCCTCAAAAGGTATTTAGGTCCCTAAGTCCCAATGATTTCCCTGGGAGTTACACACCTAAATACCTTTGAGGATCTGGGCCTAAGTGACTTGCTCAAAGTCACGCAGCAGGTCTGTTAATAAGCTAGGAACCAAACCCAGATTTCCTGGGTTCCAGCCACAAGACCATTCTTCTGCTCACAGCATAACAACAGTATGGTATACCTGGGCTATGTCGGAGGATCTCAGAACTTTGAACGCTTGGGAAGAAAGCTGCTAGAAGAACAAGCTCTCTCCCTCACTGTTTAAAACTAAAGATTTCCCACAAGCAAGAACTGGGAGAGCATAATTAAAGTAAATGATGAAGTCACTGGGATGAGGAGAGGCAGCACCAAATGACAGATGCATGGCATCTGCTAGATAGGGTACACCATGGAGAATCAGTTGCGCAGGTACCTGGCTGGACCACTGCATCCTACATCAGACATATGATCTCACCTCATTCCCCAATACATGTAATGGGACAAATTTATCTCTGGTGAAATTTCTTGGGCGATCAAGGGTATGATGGTAGGATAGAGGTGATTTAGCCAGGTACTTATACAATTTATTCACTGCAACATGTGTGAGTTTATACACACAAGGATACACTATAAATATTATACACACATTCATATACACACCTACACATACATAGGCTCTATCTACGCTATGCGGTAGGGGTGTGATTCATAGAGTCCTAGAGTTGAAGGTCATATGAGACCACCAGATCATCCTGTCTGACCTCCTGCATACCATAGGCCACCAACACCACCCAAAACCCAACAACCTCAGCCATGCTAAGTACAACGCCCGCCTGAAACCAGTGGGTACGTATACGGCACAGCAAAGCTGCCACTGCTTGCGCTGTCATGGCTACACTACTAGTTATACTTTCCTCAAGCTACCATGAGTGTGTGTACATGAGGGGAATCACACCCCAACTCATAGTGTAGACATGGCCATAGAGAGAGAGATTGCACCTGTAACTCCTCCCATCCCCAGGGGGAAGGAAAGAAAGAA